TGAACGTACCGAATTTGAGTGTACATAATTGTTTTATAGATATGTATATATATATTGTACATTTGCAAACGCATATGTATCTATGAACCATATAATTAATCGTACAGATTTTAACATCAAGTTTCCAATCTATTAGAGTACGCATGTGGCAACTCGTTGTTGTACTTACATGTACCCTAACCTCTAAACAGTAGTGACGCCGATTAAGCGTAATTGTTACAGTAAACAAAAAGTATTATTGATAACTACCTAAATGTTATACTTTTGACTTAACTATTGTATTTATCATATATTATGTTATGTTTACATAATTATAGTCGTCTTACTAATTTGTCAATATTAGAACATTTTACTCTTAATCGTGGTAAAATATTTGTTGTGTTACATTATCTTTAATTTTTTAGTGGCAATGGATATTAGACCGAATAATACGATCTACATCAATAATTTAAATGAGAAAATAAAAAAGGATGAGCTCAAGAAATCCTTATACGCAATTTTTTCTCAATTTGGTCAAATATTAGATATTGTAGCCTTAAAAACATTAAAAATGCGTGGACAAGCATTTGTTATTTTTAAGGAAATTGCTAGTGCCACAAATGCATTGAGGTCAATGCAAGGATTCCCATTTTATGATAAACCAATGGTAATATTGGCTAAGTCATTTTTATAGATAGTAATATTATCTGTACAGTTATTATAACTATTCCTATTTTAGAGGATACAATATGCAAAAACCGACAGTGATATAATTGCAAAAATGAAAGGCACATATGCTGAACGACCTAAGAAACCAAAACGTATTGTACCTGCAGCTGACGAAGAAGCTAAACGTGCTAAAAAGCGAGCCAAAGAACAGGCTAAACATTCTCAACAAATTGGTTATCATGCTGGTGTACCACAACATCCAGGTTTAGTTAATACAGCTGTACCCGAACAACCACCAAATCAAATTCTGTTCCTCACAAATTTACCAGACGAAACTAGTGAAATGATGTTATCCATGTTGTTTAACCAATTTCCTGGGTTTAAAGAAGTACGCTTGGTACCAAACAGGCATGACATTGCATTTGTTGAGTTTGAAAACGAAGTTCAGTCAGGAGCTGCGAAAGATGCACTTCAAGGATTTAAAATTACACCTTCTCATGCAATGAAAATTTCTTTTGCAAAGAAATAAACTACATGATATCCTAGTTGATATGGAAATGTTATCAAGGAATGAACAAATGCGTGTGTGTGTTGTAACTGAAGTATTTAGAAATGTATGCAATGCGTAATTAATCAAGGATGAAGATTTAGAAGCATAAATCTGAAACATACCATATACATTCAAGAACATTACGTGTACAAAATTTTATGTAATGTATACATACAAGACTACACACTGTAAATAGGAATTAAAAGATATAACATTTTTCAGAAATACATCCGTCATGTGGGACTATTTTTTATTTAATTATAATATAATTAAATGTGAAAAGTAGAAACATTTCTATAATAAAGTAATTACAATGACATAACTCATACAAGATATAAAAGGATATTGTTTCTAAATATGTTTATTCATTGTAGTGTATTAGTATTTCATGCAGTGAGAATATTTATAAAATCATTTTAAATGTATTTTATAAGCTGAAAAAAAATTCTTATAGTTGTAAGAATGTGTATATATATATACACATATATACGTGTATATGTACATGTATATATACACATTCTTACATGAAAGAGGAATTTATGTATATTACATGAAAGATAAAAGACTACTGATACTTTCACAAAAAGAAAACATTTAATTTCAACGACTTTTTGAAAAAGATATAATATGTTCATAGTCCGTAATGTTTTACTAAAACCAGTTATTGTTACAAACATATTTCAGAACTAATACAATATGTATTTTCTTAAAAACTAAA